AATAGGCGTTGTACTTGGTCTGGGCTACATATGGCCTACCTCTAAGTTTACTCTTTCTCATTTTATCGCCTATTGGTACCATGCTTAAATTTTCTCGAATAGATTCATTTCGAATTTTATCCCTTCTTATCTTGCCACTCATTCATCTCAACATTCTCATATGCTACACTCATTGTATGGGTATATTGCTTTTTCTTTGCCCAACATTTCACCTCATAGAGCAAAGCTGGTCTTACCATGTCTTATAGAATTGCCCTTCAACCTCATTGGTATGCGGCGATCACATAAAATTCCAGTTGCACTTCTCCACTTGCCCACCCAGCTCTAATTATGTGTATGACATCGTCTTCGATCTCTCCATTTTGTTGGATTATTGACCCAAGATATCAAAAGTGCGGTTTTTGTTGTACTTTCTGGCCAGCAATTTTGACTACTTCCTTATTTGTACTCATGTTATTGCTAAATGCGCACTCCATATACTTTGCCATAGTCCGACTAATTTTAACACCTTTGGTTTCTAGAGCATCTCTCCAAAGTTTTAACTTTATGTTGACTTTGTTTCGAATCTCATCAATCAAAACCATATCATCCTCACATACTTCTTCACATATTTGAGATAAATTAGATTATTTTCTTATATAATAAACCTAGATCTAATTTGCAACATGGTCAATTAATTTGCGGATCTAACTCTCTTTGCTCCAACCAAAATCCATAATCTTTTTCTTCTTCAACTGCTTTCTTTCTCTCTCTCTCTCTCTCAAAATTCATGGGTTTTTCTATATGCATGGTTTGTGGGGTCTTTAAGTTTTCCTGCCAATAACAAAACCAGGAAAAGACTTGTAACATTTTGAGGATGTTTGTTCTCTCACCCTCAAAATTTTGCATATACTCTTGGTTTTAGTTGCAATTTTTGCACCCAACAATAAAAAGATCTTGCTTGTACCTATTACCTTTGTTAATGACAATATCATTTTGATGATGTTACTCAACTTAATATCTAATATTGTAAAGGAAATGTATATAATGCGATTTTTACTTTGGATACATGGAAGTCACAATCATCATTGATACTTAGATTTGAAATCCGATATTGAGAATGTGTCATCGTTTAGACACAACATCTAAAATAAAATTTCTCTAATGTTATGACACGCTTTCATCTAATGGATTTCATATTCAATGGCTAAAAGTAATTATGATCTCCTTTACCAAGAATAAATAGTCTCATAGTATCCAATCCCTCTTGTAAAAAGATTTCAACAAATTTTTAGCCAATTATTGAGAAGAAATCAGGGCTGCCAAGGCTCCCCTGTGCTTTTCTTCAAATTCAACACGCTCCCTTTAACAAAAATGCTAAAGGAAAAAGTTTATATAAGGTTGTAACGTACACTTCAAAAATTCATCGAAATGAGCCGAAAAACGGCCCAAAGTAGGCCGAAGCGGATGCATCGGAGCTTTGCCTTACTTTGGTCTAGGCCAAAATTTCAAAGATTTAAACCTTTTTTGCTGAAGCTAAAAGAATTTGATAGCATTGCTTTGGAGCATCAGTTTACTGGCGTATTCAAATACGGTCACTTTCAAATATACATGTTAAAAATAGATTTTGGACCTAAGCTTTTGTAATTTAATAGGGTGGACGACCTCAAGCTTTTGTAATTTGATAGGGTGGACGACCTCAATCATAATCTAAAAAAAATAGATGTTGAACATCAAAAATGGATTATTCTAAATTTTGTTCTTGCGCTATTCATCGCCACTGATTTTATTTTTTGTGTGTCAAGAGATCTAGCATTAAATTTATGGAAAAGTACAAAGAGACCATTTACTTTTGGTGAAAGAAAGTTACAATTGTTCTTGTATTATATATTTTTAAAGGAAAAAGTTTATATAAAGTTGCAATCTTAAAATATAGAATTACGGATGCACCTCAAATATCTATTGAAAAGGTTTTTTAATGTTGAAAAACCTTCTAATTGATCATCTCCATAACGAGATGTATATGAAAAAAAAAAGATTTTGAGTCCCAAAAATAGTGTATCTTACAATACATTATCTAGACAGTCAATTTTCAAGATTTTCATATATTTTAAAAATTTTATAATTAAATCTAAAAATAGAGTTTGAGATAATCCTAATAATTAGATCTAAAAATAGATTTTGAGATAAAATTTTCAATGAAAATAGTTATTGCTATGCTGAAGAATCCCTCAATTAATCATCTCAACCTCCATACCTACAGATATGAAAATAAAAAGAAATTCAACTCTTAAAAAATGTGTATCTTATAACATATCAATTAGACTGTCTATTTTCAAGTTTTTTATCCGTTAAGATATCTCCTCGATTCCCCATTTTTGAAGTTTTAAATATCATAACCAGAGATAAAAATAGATTTTCGGACCATCATAAAAATTTTCCACATTAGAACTATATCTTTTGACACTATTAAGAGGTGGCCTCCCTTTCATTGTTTAAGGTCGGTGCACAATACCCAGTGTAAACATTATAAAAAAGAAAAATTTGTATGGATGGAGATGGATAACAACATTTGCGTCCTCCTCCAAGACATCATACATACATCTTTAAGATAGACGAAGAGTGGTGGTCCCACCAAAGAAACTAAAAATCAATGTCCTTAAATTTTTTTTCAAAAAATGATCATTTTTAGTTTTATAAAAAATTAACTCTATTTATATTAATTAATCGACTACATGTTAGAGATTTTGTATACTTAAAAAAGATTAAGTTCAAAATTCATTTCAAGGATGGATCATGAAGATGAGTGCATATGCACTACATAGGAGCCATGTAAAAACAGTTGTTATGGATGAAGTTTCTATAAGGCTTAAGTTTCATGAAAACAAAATAAAGCATCACCTCAAATATTCTTTCGAAAAGTAGTTTCAACAAGGAACTCTGCATGATAGCTTTAAAATCAATTTCCAACATCAATAATTAAATTTGAAACTTAAAAAATAGTATAGATAATGAAGATCCTCAAACATTTATTTTTTTTTTAAAAAAATGAACGATTTAGATAATTTATTATAATATACATTATTTTTAAAATTTGAAATCATATTTTATTTTTTTACAACTATAATATTCAAATCAAAATGATTGATGTAAAGGTTTTTTTTTAATGCTTGAATTGAAATTTTCGACGTGAGGCTTTACTTATTTTGATAGATCTCCACCCGTATCAAACATTTTTCCTTTATAAAAATGTCGTGTTGGTATGAGACTGGTTTACACCTTGTTTGCCACGTGTCGAAACATCATTGGACACGGTGACTCCAATGCACAAACAACCCAATGAATAACGCGCTCTCTCTCTCTCTCTCTTACATTTTATTTTCTCTCTCTATATTTCTTTCTTTTCACCCTCTCTCTCTTGCTCGTTGTCACACACCAGAGTGAGCCCGAAAACGAGGAAACCCTAGCTTTTCTGGATTCTATTAATCTCTCTCGTCCGCCACTATAGTTGAATCAGAGAGCATTTCACGAAACCGTGTTACGAATCTTCTCGATTAGCTCTCTTTCTCTCTCTTGCTTTCTTACTCTCTCTCAACCTTTTCTGTTTTTTTTTGCCCTTTTCGGAGAACGCTCCTGTTCATTTTCGGTGGAAAAGATGAAGGTTGGGCGGCAAAAGCTGGAGAAACCCTCCTATTTCTGGTACGATCTTGTATCTGAACTTCTAAAACCCTTATTTTTTAGCTGAATTGTCGTTTTGTGGGGTTCCATTGAGCCCTAATTCATCAGTTTTCTTGGTTCCTCTTGTGTGCGTTTTCTCGTGTCACCAATTCCTGGTAGTTTATATCCATGGTTTTTGCAATCGTCAATTCAATTCTCAATTGAGCTTATTTAGAAGCATTAATTCCTTCATATTTTCAGGGTTGATTATTCAGGTTTGCTTCTTTCAAACTCTGTTATGTTGGTTTCAGTGAACGATTGTTCATTTTCAGTTGATGGATTGTTCTTCAAACGTAATTTTCTTCTGAACTTTGAGGGATATTTTTTGTTGAATTATATGACTATTGTTCCTAAAAGGTCTGATGGTTCCGCCCATTTTATTTCATTTGATTTTTCTGATAATAACATTTGGTAATTTCATAATTTAGCTTGTCTGAGAACCCTCGTTCCTTTAAATAGAACCAAGCTCGTTTTGGGTTCAATTTTTGCTTTGCATATTAATCCAAGACATAAGAGTTACTCAAAAATCATAATTTCTGCACACCAACAAAGCGTTTGATTAATTGGTGTTTGTAAGTTTTGAGTAACACAAAAATGTTGGCTGTAATTTTTTTTGTCTTAGTTCTATATTTTTCTATTTTTGCTGGTTAAGACTGTTAATTTTGAGGTACAAGTTTATCCAAAAACCCCTTCATTGTATTAAAGTTGAATGCTTAAGAGTCCTTTTGTCTCACATGTTCTCTTTTCAGCATAAGATTCTTATGTTTATTTGCTTATGTTAGAATGCCTTTCGGGCTGTTGCTTAACATTTTTAGAAAATCTCCTGTAAAATTGTTGTATGCTCGAGGAATTTGATTTCATTTTACTTGCAATTCCCCATTTTCTCCCTTATATTACTCAATTCTATTTTTTTAATGTTAGGCTGCCTCATAATTCAAGATATTTTCTTGTTAAGAAAACAATCACCCTGCAAAATATTACAAACTCTTATTAACTTGGGCTCATTTTCTTGCCTTTTTTGCCTAATGATCGCCGTATTTTCTGTGCACTTTTTTTTTTACTATCTCATAATTTCCAATTGAAGCTTTGCTGTTTCCCCTATTGCTGCAAAACCATAATGTACTTCACAAGCTGGGATTAGTTTTCAATCTCTTACTGTGTGAAATAAAAAGATAAAATTTCTTTACAAGGAAAAAGACAAAATTTTTCATTCCCCCCGGTTCTTGAAAATCTTGTCCATCTTGTTTGACTTCTTAGCTACCTCTTGTCCTTGCAGACATCTGTATCTTGGGGGGGGGGGGGTGGGGTGGGGCTCTCTTGACATATACATGACGTAGCTTGCCATGGCTGATCAAGCAATGTCTTTGGAGGAATTGCCTTCCCATCTTCTTCAGGAGATACTGAATTCAGGTCGTCTCGGCCCTGCTGACCTTGCTTGCTTGGAAGCCTCATGTCGAATTTTTCGGGGCCATCAAAGCCTTTTCCCTTTCAAGTTTCGGTCCATGGCCGAGTTCGCTGCTTTCCATCTATGCAGTTCGGGTGCAATTTTCAGGGGTATGTCAGTAGCGGCAAGGACCAGCCTTGTAGATAGATGTGGGGGCAACTGGAAGCTCGTCTTGAGATTCATACAGTCGGTGGAACAGGCTTCGAGTTTGGTCGAGACACCATCAGGCAATGTACTACTTCTTGTTGAAGCAATTATATAACGAATGATGCAATTATATATCGAATATTGATTTTTAAAAATTTGGAAAACTTCAGCTATAACTTAGGCCCAGCTTTTGGAAACTTTGGCTAGAACAACAAACCATATGTTGGTCGTCACACCATTGTGGCCCAATTAACGACATTGTACTTTTATTGTTTCTTCTTCATTGGAAAATGGCACACTTTTAAGTTTATTTTATCCGTAGCTGGATAAAGCTTTCTTGCGTTATGCTATTTCTTAATTACACAAAACAATCCTAGCTTCTACGAAGACATGTACTCAATCTCATCACCACTCCATCTCAATGAGCCTTTGTTTGAGGCCATTAGATCATGGTACGGTCCTCTGTTGGCAAATGCATTCATGCCAAGAATTTATAAAGAATTCTTGGCCTTATTCTTGAGTTGGATTGGGAGAAGTTGTCTGATCATGTTGACTTGCAAATATTGGAGAAGGTCTTGAGTCGGTGGGCATTAGTGAGGACATGCAAAGTCTATTAGTGAAGACTATTATCAATGGGAGCTGCAGGTTCCGCCAAATGCACGGACCTATTTGGAGGATGTGAACCCCAGGCAAGTTACTTAGAAGAATAGGAAGAACAAGGTCTAACCGAGATGCTTTTCTATTTATTTTGGGATATTCCTCAGTTGATTTTCTGTTCAGTTCTAATATCTTTTATTTTCTGGTTAAGTGAGGGGCATTCTAGGTATTCCATTTTAAGTTAGGGTATTTAACTTTAAGTTGGAATTGTTCTAACCATTTTTATCTTGGTTAGGGGCATCCTTGACTTTTGTTAAATGAAATATCAAATAAAAGAGGTGTCTGGGGCTCTATGGGGCATTCACGTGACTTTAAAAAGAGGAAAAAGGAAAATGAAGTTTTTGCTCCCCAATTAAGGTTTTGGGGAGGCAACCTTGGTTCCCTTGAATTGGTGCTTATGCTTTGCTTGCAATTTGTTTAATTTTCTATTTTCTTCATCAAATCTCTACATCAATTGGTGTCAAAGCTCTTCGGTCAAGTCTAGGATTTGTTGAATTTAGGCTAGAGTTTCTTGATTGCAGCCTAGGGTTTACTGATTTCAGCCTAGAACTTGCTGGTTTCAGTTAGGGTTTGCTGATTTTCTACTTATGATTTGTGATTTCAGTGAACCTATGGTAGCAAGAAAGGGTTGTAGAAGGGGGGCTCTTGTTGACCTACCCCAAGATGCTAGAGATGAAGAGATTGAGAATCTCAGGAGGTAGGTTCAACAAATTGCATAACAACTCATGGGCATCAATCATGAGCAAGACGGTGGCCATTATACCGAAGAAGATGTCAAGTACAAAGCCGTTTACCTAAGCTAAGCCGTAAGATAAGTGAGCTTTTCGTTTCAATCCATTTCATTGTTCTGCTATGCTCGAGGAGTCAAGTGAAGAGGAAAGTTACATAAGGCCTTGATGTGGGGTGCATTACTCTTGAGATGCCTATTTGAAGGTGGATATTCTTGAGTTTGATGGTAAGCCTCAACCTGAAGAAAGGTTTTTTATTACAAAGAAGTGCCCTGATAAGAAAAAGGTAAATAATTATTGCCAGAAAATGAAAGAAGGGTGCGACATGGTGGGAATAGCTTAGGGCTAGAAGGAAAAGAATGGAAAAGCTAAAAGTTACTTCTTGAGAGAAGTTTAAAAGAGCATTAAAAGAAAAATACCTACCTGTAACTTATTTGCAGTCCCTTTATTTGTCAAGGAGATAGGAGTGTGGATGAATACATGAATGAATTTAATTAGTTAATGGTCCGAAGTGATGTGATTGAAAGTGAGGAACAACCCATAGTATGTCAGTGGGCTAAAACATCCATACAAGATGTGGTGGAGTTACAACATAATTACACCTTGGATGAAGTGTACAACCCTGTTGTTGTTTTTGAGAAAGAGTACAACCCTGTTGTTAAGTTGAAACTCAAAAGAAATGACCCTTATTAAGGTGGAACACAACCCAAGGTGGTACATGCAAACCTTGGTGGTGTTTTTAGAGGAAAGGCAATAATACTGTGGTTGGCCAAAGTTTTAGTCCTACTGATCTGTCCAAACCATAGTTACCGGGATCTCCTCCCTTGCTTGGCGATCTCTTGCTGAACCTCGATTCTCTCGATCCCGAAGTGGATCTCGTCTAAAACTCAATTTAGTCGTTTCGAGATCGCGCTCCATCTTATAAGGGAATGAGTACCTTACAATTTAATTTCGCGTTCCTGGACATGAGAGGATTTAGTTCTCTAGTCTTATGGCTCGTGCTCCAAAGTGTATTGGGATCTAGATTCCAAAATAACTGAACACAAGCATCACCATATATCGCATCCAGATCCCACCAATATAGGATCGCTTTAAAGTTCCTTGTTTATTTCATAGAAGGACTACACCTACATGTTATTGATTAACAATGCTAGGAGCTACATTTTAAAGCCACGGATCCTTATTTCCTACTTTAGAAACTTGTGTTCTAAGAAAATGGAGAGCTTCCTATAAAAGTTATTCCTCGCTCTATAATAGTTTGGATCACTTTAGTAACGTGCTCCCTAAGTTAAGAAACTCAAAAAAATGCCTTGGGAACTTCGTTCTTATGTATAGGATCTCGCACTTTCGTATAATAATTCTCGATCCTATGTAATGAAGGAGCTCGATCCCCATCACACATGGACCTCGATCACCTTTGAGGCTGTACAGGCATCGATCCCACCCCCAATCTGTTTCTGTTCTCGTACCCAACAACTATGGTCCAAACAGCTGGAAAGTATGGGTGACGGGGCTGGTTCTAGTCGCCCTAATCGACCAAAGAACAGTGCTAACAAGCGCTTTAAGTGTTTGGGAATCGTACATGTCTCTTATCCATACTGGAATAAAAAGGTTTTCACCCTTTATGAGGAAGTTTTCAAAGAGGAAAATAAGCAGTTAATCGATAGACCTCATTTGTGATGAGGTGCCTAAAGAAGATGAACATGAGGGAACATTCGGTGAACATGGGGAGGCTTTGGTGATTTGGTGTAGGATGATCATACCTTGGGTAGTGGAAGAAGAAGATTGGCGCACACGAACGTCGTCCATACATGATGCACGACATACTGGAAGGTTTGTAGTCTTGTAATTGATGGAGTAAGCTGTGAGAATATTGTGTCCTAATAGATGGTAGACAAGCTGTCGTTGAAGATGGAAAGCCATCCAAAGCCGTACAAGGTAGTTTGGTTCAAGAAGCGTAATGAAGTATCAATCTCCAAACATTGTTTGGTTTCTTTTTCAAGTGGAAAGTTTTAAGAGATTAAGTATGGGGAGATTAGTGCCTATGGATGTGTCTCATTTATTACTATGTAGGTGGTGGTAATACGACAATGCACTATACATGATGGGCTTAAAAAACATTTCCTTCTTTGTCAAAGATGGGGTAAAAGTGGTTTTAGGTTCATCTAAGAAGGAAAGTGCATCTAAATTAGATGAGGTATGTACTAATCTTCTTTCTTTAGGGGAGTTTATGGAGGAGGAGTCCAGGATGTTGTACCCAGTGGTCCGAGGGGAGGAGGAGTCCAGGATGTTGTACCCAGTGGTCCGAGGGGAGGAGCAGCCTACTAGTTTGATTCCACAACAGTTAGAGCCATTAATGAGGGACTATCATAATGTCATCCCATATGAGCTTCCTGAGGGGTTACCTCCTTTGTGAGGATATCTAGCATCACATAGACGTTGTTCTTGGGTTTAGCTTACCGAACAAGGCAGCATATAGGATGAACCCAAAAAACATGAAGAGTTACAAAGACAGGTTATAGAGCTTCTCCTGTGAGAGAACTTTGAATCCATGTGTTGTCCTGGTTGTATTGATACCTAAGAAGGACGGGACTTGGCATATGCGGGTGGGTGGACAACATGACCATTAATAAGATTACGATCAAGTATTGCTTTCCCAATTCCTTGCCTGGATGATATGCTGGACATGTTGGTTGGTGCTACTATTTTTATATTTGCGGAGTGGGTACCATCAGATCCATATACGGGAGCAACAGTTGCATGGGAACCTGAAGAAGTGTGATTTTACGACATGCAGCCTGGGTTTTCTTGGTTATGTTGTGTCAGTTGAGGGCATCAAGGTTGATCAAAAGATGGTAATAGCAACCTTGGATTGGCCTATGCCCCCGACAATCCATCATATTCTTAGTTTTCATGGGTTGGCTACTTTTTTTAGGAGCTTTTTTTAGGGCTTCAGTTTGAATGTAGCACCTATCATTGATTGTCTAAAGAAGGGGCCATTTGTATGGACGGATGAGGCCGAGAAAAGCTTTCAGTTAGTGAAGCAGAAGATGTTCGAGGCTCGTGTCTTGGCTCTTCCTTGCTTTGATAATGTTTTTGAGTTGGATTGTGATGCTTCGCATGTCGGTATTGATGCGTTGTTGAGTCCAGAAAGGCGTCCTATGGTCTTTTTCAGTGAAAAGTAAAATGATACCCAGCAGCGATACACTACTATGATGTGGAGTTGTATGCTATTTTGTTCTCAGGTCATGAACCACTAAATTTTTTTAATGGGCAACATAAGCTAAATCAGCAACATGCTTGGTGGCTAGTCTATTTGTAGGAGTTTACTTTTGTCATTCGGCATAAGGCAAGCAATCAAAATAGAGTAACAGACGCTCTGAGCAAAAGAACAACTTGTGACAACCACCATTATAAGGTTTGAGTTCATGAAGGATCTTTATGTAGATGATGTCAAATTTAAGGAGATAGAGGTTCAATGTTGTGATGATGGATTTCTCTTTAAAGGAAATTGACTTTGTATACTTGCAGGTTCTCTTAGAGAGACTCTGATTACAGAACTTCATGGAGGTCTTGGTGGACATTTTGGGCTAGGCAAACCATATCATTGGTAGAGTCTAAATATTTCTGGCCAAAATTGGAGAGGGATGTTACTCGGTTAGAAGGCTGTCTTACATGTCAACTAGTTAAGGGACGATAA